ATTAAGTACCACCTACTCGAGTCCATTAAGAGCAGACTTAGAGATTTCATCTTTGACCACCCCAAAGCCAAACTTCCCAAATCCTCCACTGAAACCCCAGTCTCCTAATATGCATAAACAAAAATCAAAGAGGACCCTGCAGACATGCTGGGTTAATGATTTTCAGTACCATTTTTTGAGCGCAATAAGTTTTTGAGTTACTGGTTTAGACACAGACACCAAGACAGCAAATTAAAGTATGTGGCTATCCATGTTTTTTAGAGCTTGTTTCATGATTTTATCCAGCTGCCTCTTCATTGAGGGTCACATTACTGAAAATATGAAAGTGATCTTTTGGCCATTTTCTGTCTAAATATTTTGAGAATAATGGCTGTTATATATTTGTTCAAATCAAAACTCACACTAATAAGCAGGTATCTTGATGACCCTAATTCAAAACAAGTCTTTTAGGAACAAAATTGCAAACAGACATTTTAAGTCCAATCCCACAACATGTAGATATTTTCTGCAGTTCCTATTTTCATTTTATCCACCTCCAGTCTTTAATGTCAAACTACAGAACATTTTCTGGCACAGTATATTACAAAGCTCATTTGTATTAAATTTATCATTTATGCTCAAAGTTTCAAAGCACAAAGACGGAATAAATAGATCTCAAAGAAAACTAAATTGCATTTTAAACAGGGAAGATTTATTAATCAGAAAAAAAATCCATAACACACAAAATCAGAGTTAAAAGTGTCCACAACTAGTGTAGATGTTTCAAAGCATCACTTGACTAAAGCAGTCGAGTGACTATTCGAAGTCATTAAACATCACTGGCCACAAAACAGGTTAAACATTTTTTAACCATGATGTAAAGTGAGAAAACAGTTATGGAATCAGAAAACACCAGCTGAACTGTGAGGTGCACTGCTCTAAGTTGTACACTTGGAGGCAAGAACAGAAACCACCTCTACACAACACTTGAAAAGCAAAAAATCAACTTGGCACTTAAAAGACGTTGCAGTAATGTGTCTGCTGTAAGCTGATGACCCAAAGCATCAGTAAAAGGCAAGGGCCATGCTAGCCTCACCCCCTCTACCTTTTCTGAGTATCAAACTAAACTAAAGTTTAGCCAAGCACTAGGACTACAATGAAGTTCTGGTGGGACTCCATTCCCTGGCTCGGGGGAGAAACAACCAGTCCACATCCCCAGGTAACTCCTGATATTGCCTGTGGACTGCTGGCACCTTTCTACCTCACTAAAGTAAAATCAAACTTTTCCATAAGGAACTGTAGCCTGAATATGGAGAACGTAACTATAATATCACAGGTAGTGGTAGAATATGCCATCTTAGCTTAAAAAAAAAACAAAAAAAGGTAGAGATCCAGCAACCCAGAACAAGTAGTTGGAGATTAAAGACTAGGTTCAGTTTTGCTATTGACCTAGGTAAGCACCCAGACAAAAAATTTGCCATTTACATTGTCATATATAGAGTGGATGTAAATTATATGGGTCTCCTGATGGAGAGTTTGTAAAAATAGACATGTGTTATAAAACTTGCAAATGAAAAGCAAGAGCTATTGAAAGGAAAATAGATTGAAAACAAATGCAAACACAACTCATTTACACATGCTAGAAATTTGTTTGGGAAATCAATACATCTGTTAGAAAGACTTGTCATTAACATGGTAGTATATCTTAAATTCTGCCTGAGACAAGCATCACCTAAAGGAAATACCTTACCATAACATCACAAAAATGAAAGCACTAGAGCCACACAAGTCATCCAAAGTATTCTGTTAGAAAGAGATACTGAGCCAAAAGAATTTCTGGGCTAAATGAAGACACTAAATACAGCTGTTACACCAGGGATATGTGTTCTTTATTATAAGAAGGTTATTCAGTAGGCCTGCTGCCAGTATACAAAGACAAATGATATGAAGAGTGGCAAATAAAATAAAGTAACTGAGCAGCAACAATGCACAAAGTAGCCCTCTGAAGTAAACATATATACAGAGCCCTATGTCTGTCATCCTGTCCATGGCCAGGCATATCTCTACACATGGTCATAAAATGTGCTTCTAATCTGTGCAGAAGTATTGCTTATTTATTTTTTATGACTCTTATGAGCAGTTTGACACATTTTGGCTTTGGAGAGTTATCCTAAACTATCTTACTGCTCAATCCAAACTCATGTCGGTCACTGGTTTTACTAATTTTCAAAAGGCTATTGGAGTTACATATAATTCTATTTAGCAATGAGTGACTGTTTGCACCTCTTAAATGTGCTTAAATTACAGCCCTCATATATAGGATCACATTTAACTTGTGAAAATATAATTCACATGTAGAACAATAGTGTTCAGTATACAAAATATTGTGTTAGCAGGTGGATACAAACAGTCTGTTGGGAGAGAACCAAAATGGCTTTTGCAGTAGGAAGTCCCACCCCAGAGGAGTCTTGCAAAACAGTGTATGGGCAAAAGAGACACATAGGAGTTTCAACAGAAATAGACATAAAGTAGAATACCTACAGGAAAAACAACCTAGACCATATCTACAGAATCACGGACTCATAATTGATAGTTTCAACACAGAAAAAAGGTTTTGGGGTCATTGATGACATTTCTCTGAAACTATCAGAATCTGGTGGGTTGCGATCAAGATTCACTGTGAAGGCATGGATAAGGTGAACATGGAACTGTTATCAAACAAATCCTTGAAGCTAGAATCAAGGAGTCCTGAAGGAAACTAACAAGAATGTTTTAACAGACATAAGAAAGTAATTTTTTTGTAATGCCATGATCTTCTGTAACTTGCTTCCATGCAGGCTGTGGAGCCACACAGAGAGGTCCATGAATGGACACTAATGGAACTAGGAAGGGTTGGACCCTAATACAACTGTAGTGCTGAGAAGGTACAGCATGTGGCCAGGTTTAAATTTCTCTCTCCTCTGTCACTGTCAGACACAGAGTAGTGACTTAAAGGAACTACTGGTCCAACTGGTATTAAATCACATTTTGCTTTTTAAATGTCAGTTATGTTCTATTTATGATTTATTAATTTATTGTGGTATTTATGCATTATTTATTAATAATTTTAAAACTTATGAACCATCACTCACTACAGTTATATTTCACTTAAAACTAAAACAATTGCTGAGACCTAATGGGCATCATGTAATATAGACCTGCCCTTGAAGAAAAAGCTTTTACTTGGGCCAGGAATTTTGTTTTCAGATATTATTAAAATTATTAATTTGCTAAGTATGGGATTTATCTTGATTTTCCATTTGGCTGGGTTTGCAAATCAAGAAAAGTGTCATTATTCTGAGATTAATACCTTTACAGAGTAAGGTAGTCGCTTGTCAAATTTCTCTCAAGACAAAATCGGATGAAGTCTGGAAATGTGACACCAGAGACTAACACATCATACTGTGAGAATATCCCTATAGTCACATAGCTTGCCCTTACCTATTTTTACCTTCCTGGCATTGAAATTTAATGTTCAATTCCAAATTACCAAAACCAAATTCAATAAAAACAAAAACATAAAAATCCAAACGCTGTTCTGGTGGTTGATTTTAAGCTGAGGTTTTCTTGAGAAAAAAAATCCCATATCAGTTCTGCTAAGTAGCACTTGTCAGTGTATTTAGGAGTAACTGGAGAGATTAATTATTTCAGTAGTGACTCATGTTGATTTTCTACATTTATGCAGGAAATTTTAAGGAATTTTTGTACCAATTGTACCTTTAAGTCATACCTTCTGCACTGTTTTATTACATCAGATAACTTTTAGCATAGCTATAATGTAAGGGACTGCCTGGATCCAGGACTGTAGAATCACTTCACACTGAGTAAGATTTTCAGTGACTTGAGGCATCAGTACAGTCCCTTCTCACAGCTATCAGATACTGAAATGTGTTTTACATATGCAGAGTAACATATTAAGGACCTGGTTGTAAAAAAGCAAACAGATAAGCTTCCATTGCCTGCAACAGGGATCTTCCATTCACAGCAAATATAACCATTTACTTTTATGATATTTTTCTACTCTTATTTGTTTTCAATGTTTTCCTCATTCATGCTGTCAGCATTCTTCAGCAAATGGTCAGAAGCACTTGTTCAAACAACTTTCACTGATTGTTTCCCACCCGCAGTATGATACATTTTTACCATTCTGAGATTCTTCCTTCCCAAAAAGGCAGTCAATAGATCATGAAATGAGATGAGAAGAAAAGCAGCTGTTATAAATGCTTAACTTCTTAATAGATTTGCAGGTTAACACTTAACGGCCCTAAAATATAGATGAAGAAAGAACAAGGCCCTAATCTCAAATTCAGATCATTATACTAAATATTGATAATAAATAAATGGGCCCAAATCAAATACAAATAAATTTCAGGGGGTTGTCTTAATAAATACATAAATAAATAAATATGAAAATATATCCCATTTCAAATAAACATATAGCTCTAGTTCACTTTTTTATTATTATTTTTAATCTAATTTTTTTATGTGTCAAAACTGCATCTTCCTTTATAGAGCAAGGTGGCGATTTTCTTAACAAATACAGGCCTCATGGTTAGAAAGCTACAGAGAAACACTGATTACGCTGGCTAAACGTCAAACATATTAATAAAAACACTAAATCAATTCATCATAGAGTCTGAAATCTTGGGGCAAACTAAAGGCGTCTGAAAAGCAGATAACACGGTTCTCATTTCGTATATCTACAGCTCATGGACAGTGCCAGCGTTAACAGTGAAAAGGCCCAACAAATCCCCGGCCAACATCGCAGAGCAATACGCCCACCTCTCGGTATTTGGGGTGCATTTCATGGCAAATTGGCCGAAACCCATCCCGCAGCAGCAGCTAGGAAGCCCGCGGAGGAAGGCTGTGCCCAGCCTCAGGCCCGCGGGGCTGCGGTAAAAGCCTCCTTTCAGCGGGAGCAGAGGCCGGCAGGAGGGGTGCCGGGGATGCTGCCGCGGCCGGGGCCGCCCGGCGGTACCCACCTTGGGCATCCGGATGTGCTCCATGGCGGCGGCGCCCGGCCGAGCTCCTCATGCACCGCCCGCCGCCGGCGGAGAGGCGGCCCTGCGCACCTGGCCTCTCCCCGATTTTCTCCTGCCAGCCCTGCTGTTAAAAAAAAACAAACTATATTTTTTTTAATAATATATTTTAATTTTTATCTTGATCTCGCCTTTTTCCGGCGCAGATAAGAGGGAGAAGGGAGGATTTACTCCCGGCAAATGATGTGCCCGTGCTGCGATGCTGGCAGGTCACCGGCTGGCTCCACCTCCCCGGCAGCTGCCATGCTGCCCGGCGGCGGGGATGCTTCGCGCCTCCCGCCCGGCCCGGCCGCGCCGTCCCCGCAGCCGCGGGGACCCTCCTGCTCCTCGGCCGCTGCCTCTCCCCGCGGCACCCGGAGGCGCAACCTGGATGGTTTGCTCTCTTATCTAGAGTTACATCGCTCTTGTCCTTTCTTTCAGGGAAGATAAGATCGGTAACATAAAGGGAGCTCTGTCTAAGATCGCCTCCCCCCATTTTTGTTTGTTCTCTGGCCCAGCATGTACAGTATCTCAAAGACAAAAGCTGCGCTTACTGAAACTGAAGCACTGAATTTTGTTTATCTGAAGCTCTGCTTGTCTGTTTCTCTGTAATTCACAACTTTGCTGCATCCTCAGATTTGCACAAGGGAGGATTTTTTGCAACACGCAGTTTTCAGTCTTACACCAGAAATTCCTTTCCCTATCTTTTGCCTTACCTATTGCAAAAGACACGTTTCCTCTTGGAGCAAAAAGAAATGCCACGGAGATGGTTTCCCCAGTTAACCTGTGCGAAGATGAAGAAGGGGTATCTAGCTGTCTCTGAATTGCTATCATATTCAAAGCAAAAAGATAACCTTTCTCAGTGTTTATGCCAATGTACAAATTATTAGATGTGCTAATATATTATTTCAGAAAAACCATAGTCTTAGAGGCTTGTAAAATGCCCAGAAAGTCTATACTGATCGATGTATTCCAATAATTCTTCTTAAATAGGGACTAGCCTCATCGAGGCGTAGAAATAAATGTGAGACTTCTCAAACCCACAAAGGTCATGGCAAGAGTGCTTTGCTCCAGAGCAGGAGAAGCTCCCCACATAACCTCTTGCTTGCACAGAACACAGTAAGCTTAATATATTTTGTGAAAGATAAAATATGGGTTGAGAAAAATATAGGGTTACCAAAAAACAAAAATGCATTTTACCCCAATGGAAAGGGAATAATGGGTATAGCTGCACTGGCTTCAGTCATGCCATTGTTTTCCCAATCCTGCTGATCTCTTACTAAGAAATAGCTAGATGATGGGTTTTTTTGCTCCATTACTTATACTCAAACTGAGGGCATCATGAGGGGTTTTTATGTCAAGTCTTAGGTTAGAGGAGACAGAAGCTATACTATCATGAGTGTAATGTAAGTCACCTCTGTATGTGATCATTCTGCTGGCTTCTCCCCTGTTTTGGCCCATTTCTGCCCTCCTTTCTCTTATAGTTCAACTGCTGTTATTGAGCAGAAGTGGCTGGAATGACCATAGTCTGAGACACCATCATATGGATGAAAACTCTTCTTGGAGTTTTTAATCATTGCATTTCACACTGTTCACTCAGATCTGAAAAGAGAATTGGAAATATCACTTTCTGTTTGAAAATTCACTGGATAGCATCCATAAAGTGCATGAATACATAAAGTGTGGACTTCACAAGACTCTTGATCAGTGGCTTATTTTCTCTATTTTAGATGAGAGCATCAGAATCAATAAAGAATTAATCAACCACGGAATATTCGCTTGTAGTTACGGCTGATGTGATTCAGTGCGTACATCATCATCTTTTAGCATTTGCCACCACCAGTGAGTAAAGTTGGAAGAATGCATGTTCGTCCTTTCAGTCCCCCTTTCAGAAATATTTACTTTTTCTCTGGTATGTCTTGTAATTCATCACAACCAAGTTCAAGTCCTACTGGTAAAGTGAAGAAAACTTTGAGATCTAAGAGAGAATGCACTTTAACTCTGCTTCACATTCATCAATAGCTGCAAAACTAAGCTGTTTCTCAGAGAAGAGTGTTTATGTAGCAATCTGTTGCTCAACATCCTCCAAAGTTTTTGACCTGTCTTGGGCTGGTAAAATAATTGATGGGCAAGTGCAGCTGTAAACAGACCTTGGGTTTAGATAAAAGTTATGCCTACTGCAATTGTCATAGAAAGCTGCAGTAAGCACAACCTAAAAATTCTCTTACATTTTTTATTTGCATTTCAGGCTCATAGAGACTGCTCCCTTAGCAATCCTGGAAATTAAATCCTCTGTAGCAGTACAGTGAGAGCAACAACAAAAAATAACACTCCATAGACTACTGCTGTGATTCAACTAAGATGTAGGGGCAGGAAAATTAAATTGCTGTGCCTAAATAGGTTTTGACCTATCTGCTGCAAGTGCCAACAAAGTTCTTAATTAATGTCACTTGAAGGCCAGTCACTGAGGATGAGAATGATACCAGCATAATTATTTTCTATATGCATAAGAAATAGTCAGCTTTTAGCCTCATCCAGTAAAACCTGAAAGCACACACTTCACTTCCAATATGTAAACATTTCTGTTACATTCAATGGAATCACCTGAATGCTCAGATATATTGCATCTGTTACTAGCTACCTGACCTAAATTTGAATCATCATGTTAGATCTGGAAGAGTTTATAGATTTATTTGTGTTTTCCAATTACATTTTACTTGTTTAAAGGTGTTTTCCTGTGGGTTGCATTTTGATATAATACAACTCAAACAAAAAATTATGTACTTGTAGTAATACTTATTTTAAAGTTTAGTCTGCAGATTTATAAACATATATTAAATGCTAACATGTAGGGAAGAAATTAACTGGAAATTGGCAGTATAAAGGCTTTGGTGCTAGGACAGCTGTAGCCAGGGTGACAGAATCTGGCATATGGGATGAAGATGAGGAGACTGGGGTCAGCCCATGTTATCATGTTACCATGGGCTGAAGTCAAACAGTACTGGTTCAAGTGTAGCCCTGGGTTTGTGGACAAGGAATGGAGCAAAAAAAAAACCTGCTGGGCATCTCACCAAGGAAATGCTTCTGGACCCAGTGTTGGCAAAAAGTGGTTTGTGCACAACAACACTTTCTCACACAATCCAGCATACAGGTCTTTGTACATTGTTTGTTGAAAACAACAAACAAACAAAATAGGACTACATCAAAACAAACAGATTTTTTTTTTTTTCAGTCTTCTTCTAATGGAGATACCCAGTAAAATCCATGGAAAAATAGACTTTTTATATTAGAAAAAAGGGAAATGGTACCATCTTTTACCATAAAGTACAGTACACTAATACACTTTTGAACATAATGTATCTACACCAGTTAGACACAAGAGAGTCATGGAACTTGTAACTACTTTGTAGTTTCAAAATTCTTTTCTTTCACAATTTTCACTGTGCTGCTCTGCTGCTTTTACCCCTTCATAGGGTAAAAACCCCCTATAATTTCTTAGAATTATAGCATCTTTAAGTTTGGAAAAGATCTCTGAGATAATTGAGTCGAACCATTAACCTAACAGTGAGATGTTACCATTAAATCTAAATCCAACCTAAACCTCCCCTGGCTCAGTTGAGGCAGCTGTAGAGAGCAATAAGAGCCCCCCTGAGTCAGCTTTCCTCCAAGCTAAACAACTCCAGATCCCTCAGCTACTCCACTCCTCATAGGATTTGTTCTTCTTATTTCCTTTTGTCGAGGTTTTTCATGCCAAATGATAAAGATTAATTCTTTTGGAACATGTTGACACCCAGGATAATCAGTACCATGAATTCAGAAACAGTATGTCTGTTTATATTTGTTTCATGACTTTTGAACTTTTTCAGGGGACATGCAACTTTCTCGTGGCAAATACACTTGGACACACAAACTTCACCCCCAGTTAATCTAGCAGGAGCTGCATGTGACAAGGTAAAGGATGCAAGGAGCAGTTGTCACTTTATTGTTTAACTTGCCTTTACTAGGTTTGACCTTTCAACATTTCCTTCGAGAACTGCTAAAAGAAGTCTTTGATTTGGACTTGTTATAAAATATTGTTGCATTGTTATAAAACATTGTTACATTGTTATAAAAACAAGTTTTTTGCAGGAAGGAATACCAGCCAGCCTGTGGAAACTGGAATGGTTTTGATGCTATTCTGCAGTTAAACAAAGTGATATTAATATCGTATATCGCATAACATTTATTATACATGATATATGATACATCATACATGATATCTGCCCATATTTGTAATAACTGGCCTGAAATGCATAGTAGAGAAATAAAATAGGCAAAATTCTAGAATTACTCAGAATGTATGTCCGGTTACTTACATGAAGATTCCTCAAATTGAGGAAACTGGCATGATTTTGGCAAAGTGATAACTGTTGATTAAATAAGAGCATTTCAACAAGATTAGAATACTCAGTCCCGTTACTTGGAAAATGGTGCATTTTTCATAATGAAGCGTGTCAGCACAACCAGCTGGAGAGTACAGTGGGGGGGGTCAGCAGTGATATACTCGGTATGCCTCATACAGCAGTTAAAGGAGAGCATAGCACTTACAGGAAAGGGTCATTGATTACAATAGGGATTGTAGGGGCAAAAAGGAAAGAAGTGCTCTTCAGTATAGCCAGTAGAGAAACACACTCTTCTACAAGATGATTTAAAGCTCCTCAACTCTTGAAGTGGTGTAAATACTGCTTAGACATTTATCTCATTCTGAAAATCCATAGGCATAGATATTTTTATCTAAGCTCTTTTGCCAGTTAGGTGGTTCAATGAAGAGCAATTGCTTCATCCTGGCCTTCACTGCTTCTCAGCAGGATACTGCTGTAATGGATAATTATATTTGGAACTGGGAACCTGTAAGTTTGCCCCCCCCCCCCCCCCCGTACAGTAGCTATGTCTATCTGAGCAGGCCTGCTCTTAAGTTAAATCTCCGGCTATGTGGAGAAATGTAAAAAAAAAAGATGAGTTATTACGTTTTAAAGAAATCACTTTTCATTAAAATCTAGCGGAAAAATGTGTTTCTTCCACTTAAAAATGAGAATTGGATATTTTGAAAGTGACTTTACTACAGAGTCAGGAATCAGTAACAGTGAGTAACTGGATTGTTTTTGAGAAGTGTTAGGAAGCTTTACGGCTCCTAACCAGTCATGTGGGGATTCTCCAATCCATAGCATCTGTGATAGTCTGACTACCTTTGCAATATCTTGTCCAG